AATGCACCTCAACCACAAAATTTTGCCCCATAAACACATACTTTTGGGTGGTGTTTGGCATCGATGTTGTTGCTCCAGAAAACGGTGATATATCAACGTTACATTGGAAAAATCGGTTCTCCAGAAAATGGTAACATGTTTGGTACCGTTTTTTCATAAAAAATGGTACTCCAAACCACGCCTTGGAAATCAAGAAGGTGTGGTCAGGGGAAATGCCGAATTCGACATTTTCTCAATTTGGAGCTCATTGCTGCCAATGAGGACATGATGTGGCAGTGACGTGGACTTCTTATAATGGATACAAGTGCTGAAAACAGATATTGAGCACTGGTACTAAACAGAAGGTATTGTTGTTGCCCCAAGAAACACTTTTATGAAAGCACTTTATGAAAGTACTTTTATGGAAGCACTTTTATGAAAGCACTTTTATGAAAGTACTTTTATAAAAACACTTTTACGGAAGTACCTTTATGAAAGTACTTTTATGGAAGCACTTTTATAACAATACATTACTAAAACACTTTTACAAAAGTACTTATATAAAAAAGCACTTTTACAGAATTACTTTTACAAAAGTACTTTTGCGAAAGTACTTTTACAAAAGTACTTTTATAAAAGCACTTTTATGGAAGTATTTGTATGAAAGCACTTTTTATAAAAGTACTTTTATAATAGCACTTTATGAAAGTACTTTTGTGGAAGTACTTTTATGACAGCATTTTTATAAAATCACTTTTATGAAAGTACTTTTATAAAAGCACTTTTACAAAAGTACAAAAGCACTTTAGGAAAGTACTTTTATAAAAGCACTTTTATGAAAGTACTTTTATAAAAGATCTTTTATAAAAGATCTTTTATAAAAGCATTTTTTCGAAAGTACTTTTATAAAATCACTTATAAGAAACTACTTTTACAAAACATATATGCCAATTGGTAAACATTGACTATTAGAGACCTAGGCTGGCGGTTTGTGAATACCGACACATTTTGAAGAATTAAAATGAGCAACATGGGACACTTGTCAATCTGAAAAGAATTCATTTTTAGGAAAAAAACATTTGGTTCATAGCAATATTTTCTCATTTGGCCTATTTTTACCCATTCTTTTCCATTTTAGAATTTCATCTTGGGTAAGAATGAGAATTGAACCAAACATGGCCTAAGTTTGTACCCACTCCATATTTCTAAGCAAAGGCAAATAGAAGATTATTTTGATGGTCATGACAAATGCCACCCCCACCACTAATACTAGGATTTATCTTTGCGGGCCCATCAACATTAATCATCACTTTATCCACTAGAGGAGGAATCCAAAAAACAAGCTTGAGCTTAGGAAGAGGAACAAACCTAGGATCAAGACCCAGGTAGGCCATCTGCAACCAATGATGTATAGATCTCTCCTTGACATTAAGGCTATGTTTGGTTTGAAGGAAAAGGTGGGGAAAGGAAAGGAAAGGTAGGGAAGCTCATACAAGGTTTGTAAAGGTTTCTTTACCTTACTTTTCATTTCCTTTCCCTACTCTTTCCTTCAAACCAAATACAGCCTAAGAGTAGCTGAGATCTCTCTTAACCATAGAATAATTTTGGAAATAATAGAAGAAGAAGTGTTACTCCTTCCCTCCATAAGTTTGTCGTTACACTCCTTCCATAACTCCCACAAAATGAATGTAGTATAAAGCATCCTAATGCCAAGAATGGGGCTAGGAATGAGCATGCGAAATAAGGGGTAGAGACAGAAGAAGTAGAGGAAGAGTTGTAGCCTCTTCTTAATTTTGCTTAGGATTTCATTCCCCCCTATCCTTTTTCTGGATGTGGGGGGGGGGGGGAGTTGGTCAATGGGATTTTGATTCCCATTGACCAAGACTCCCAAGTTCTTTTTTCAGATTTATGTGGGGACTAGGGAAAGTCTATTTTCCTAGGTATCACTTACCTGGGTAAGTGATACTCATATCCTAGGTGGGTAATTAACTTTCCCACCTTGGGGGGAAGTTATCAACACTTTGATGGGACAAAAATGCTCTTTGTAATAATGGATTTTTATGACTAAAATGGTCATTGCCTTATTTACATGGGAAATAAAAG